GACTGTGCCCTATGCGGTGCCCCTGCAGACCACTGGGTACAAGCCATCCTGCCCCTGCTCTGTCCACCCGCCTGACCCGTCATCACTTGACTCACAGCCCCTTGCTAATCAGCACAGCAAGCCCACACCTAACCAGGGCCTTTGAGCGGCTGGGCCTGCTCCAAAAATGTTCTGTTACCAGATGTCCAAGAGGCCCACCCTTACCACTGTGTATAAGAAAGGACAAGCTCGCACATGCACACTTGTACACTCCAACACATACAGTCATGCAGACATGCCCCCAAACTCGTGTATTGCCTCGGACAATCCACTCACAACACAGGCGCATGTACACCCTCACACCCTCAGGCACTGATCACACTCACACACATTCACTTGAACACACACTTGTGCCCCTGTCCACACACCTGTGTACAACCGTCCATGCTCACACTTGCACACTCATACATACTCCTGCACTCACACGAACCCAGAAAATTCTCTCTCACACACACAATGACATCCACGCCTGCATGCACATAAACATGTGCACACTCCTGCACTCACCCACTCTGCCACATACATGGACTTCTGCACACACACGTGCACATGCACACACACACACGTGCACATGCACACACACACAATCCAGCCATCTGGACACCTTGCATTACTTTTCCCAGGATGCACCTCACGTCCCAATGGGGCACTAACCTCTCCAGCCATCAGGCTGACCGCCAACTTTCCTGGGTGTCAGGCACCCACACAGCCCCAAGCTCCATGCCCGCACACAGCAGCGTGCAATGAACCTGGTGTGAATAAGCGAGTGCCCCAAAGGGCCTGGGCTAGAGGGCCCGCACCCCTGAGGGCCTGCCGTCTACCTAGGCTCCCCTGTGCTACCCTCTCCGCCCTCCCCCTTGCAGTCGGCCTTTGAGTCAGAGGTGTCGGAGCTCAGTATCAGCGAGAGCGAGATAAAGCGGGCTCTCAGGGACCTGCGGGCCTGGATGAAGGATGAGAAGGTGCCCAGAAACCTGGTGAGGGGGCCCCTGCTGGGCTGGCGGGCAGGGGGTGTTGAAGACTATGGCCTCCATAGAGCCTCTCTGAGGGTGGGGCTCTTGGAAGGCAGGGGTCTTGGGCCTCTCTCCGCTCACCCACCTCTGCTGACCTGGTGCAGGCCACCCAGCTAGACTCGGCCTTCATCCGGAAGGAGCCCTTCGGCCTCGTCCTCATCATCGCCCCCTGGAACTACCCCATCAACCTGACGCTGGTGCCACTGGTGGGCGCCCTGGCTGCAGGTGAGCAGGCACACACACACCCCTGCCCTGCCATCCTCCCTGTGCCCTTGGTCACCCACAGGGCCAGTCAGAAGGGGGAGCTGGCACCGGTGGGCAGAGAGGCCTGGACCCCCACCCCCAGGCTGTGTGGGCAGGTCACTTGCCCCCTCTGAACCATCTTCCTCATCTGAACCTGGGGGAGGCGAGGGCCCGCCCTGCAGGTGTGAGAACTGAACGAATGTTGTGGCTCCAGAGTCTCACCCTCTGCTCTCCTCTCCCTCCTGCCCCACCTGCAGGGAACTGCGTGGTGCTCAAGCCCTCTGAGATAACCAAGAGTGTGGAGAAGGTCCTGGCTGAGGAGCTGCCCCGGTACCTGGACCAGGTGAGCCGAGCCACAGGTAGACGGGAGCAGTGCAGGGGCGCCCTCCCCCAGCTTCCAACCCGCATTCCACCTCTCCAGAGCTGTGTGGGCCCTTTCGGCCTCAGGCTCCTTAGTCAGAGCGGGTCTGCTCAGAGGTACCCTTCTCTGCCTAGTCACAACCATACCCCTGTTGGGTGCGCCTAGCTGGACCCTGGCAGTTCCGGGTCCGGGCAGGCAGCGGGGAGTGGGCTGGTGGGGGCCGAGCTGCCTCCAGCTCTCCAGCCAGGGGTCCCAGAGGGG